CAGCTGCCCCAAAAAAGGTGGGGTCCAGCCGTGGACGGTTTTGGGGATGGTGCCAGTGGGCTGAGTCCTCTGCATCTAAGACAGCGAGGGCCACGGAAGCCAGGGGCTCTGGCAAGCACGATGCGGCCCGGGGCAGTACTAGTGGGCAGTCCCGAGGGAGGACACCCTTCCCCTGACTGCACGTTTACTGGCCCCGGAGAAAAACTGCAACCCACACTTCTTGAGACCTTACTCAGTACTTGGGATACGTGGTAAGTGCCTCCTAAAGACCATTTCCTTTCATCTTCACGTCTCTCTGAGGGAAGTGTTACTGCTGTCCCCATTTTACAGATGGTCACGGGGCAGGGGGGTCAGGAATGGTTGTCCGAGGAAGTGGCCTGTCACCTGACACCTAAAGGACCATATTCCTACAAAGGCCACCAGATGTAAGGAACTCACCCAAGGGAGGGGTAAAAGGGCCGGTGGGGCTGAAGCGCAGGGAGGGAAGGGCACGGTGGGGGCTGAGGCCAGCCCCTCTATCCCAGCTTCTCACCAGCCCCGAAGGCCCCAGGCAGAAGCTGCTGATACACGCCAAGACCGGACCGAGCACGATGTTGCAAGACTTGAACCGAAGCCCTAGCGCTTCTCCTAGCAGCCTGGTACTATGGCGAGAAACTGGGCTTTAGAGTCCAGAACTCCAAGTTCAGACCTCACCTCCCTGGGCCTCGGTTTCCCCACTTGTGATAGGAGAAAACTGCCGGTACCTATTAGTGTGGCTATATTAGACAGAATAATGGAGTGAACTGGTAGCATAACTCATAAGTGCTTCCTAACGTGAAAAACGAGGCCTCGTACCTTAAGACACTAGCCAAGAGGGAGACGGACCCATACGGTGAGGAGACAAGCAATGACCATCTCCATTCGTCCCTCAACACACATTGGGCACCGCCACTTGGAGATAGTGCACGGGGCGCTGGGGCACTGCGGTCCCCAACAGGCTGCCCCCGACAGCTGGGTCAGGAAAACATCACTGATGATCCACACACGCAGCTCTGTCCCAGAGGAGAGACTCCACTCACCCCACCTGCTAGGCTCAGAGAAGTGAAGTGACTTGGCTGGGGTCCCTCTTGCTTCTTGGGGTGGTGGCTGAGAAACCAGCTCAGGACTCCCTGACAATTAAGTTTCCTTTCTCCTCTTCTCCCTGAGCACTAAAACATCTGCTCTCACCTGGGCGGGGAGGGACGGAGAATCAGACGAAGGCCTCCTGAGCAACAGGGCTTTCAGTCAAGAACATGGTGAAAGGAGAGGCAAGCAGGCAGAGATGAAGTCAGGCAGCCCCAGCCTTTTCCCCAACCCCGCCTGCTCCAACAACCCATCCGTCAGCTACAACACAGCCTCTCAACCTTCCCCCAAAGCACTATCTCTAGGCTCGGCCTTGATGGGCTGAAACTGCACCATCCAATATGGCAGCCACCAGCCACTCGTGGCTATTTAAACTTATTGAAATTAAATAAAATGAAAACTTCAGTTCCTGGGCCCTACTAACCACACTGAGAGCTCAGTAGCCATGTGTAGTCAAGTGGCTACCGTACTGGGCTGCACAGATCTAGAAGACCATCATCATCACAAAATGTTCCACAGATCCTGGTCTACAATCTTCTTTGACTAGGGGCGCCTGGGTGGCTCAGTCAATCAAGCGTCTGCCTTCAGCTCAGGTCATGATCCCGGGGTCCTGGGATCCAGCCCTGCGTCAGCCTCCCTGCTCAATGGGCTCAGCAGGGAATCTGCTTCTCCCTCTCCCTCCCCCCACCCGCTCATGCACGAGCACACGCTCTCAAAAAAATAAATAAAATCTTTAAAAACATTGTTTAAAATCTTTTTTAACTAAATCCCACCACTCCTTCCCTTAACTCAAAAAAATCTCCTTTTTAATCTTAGAAAAAACAAGTGGGAGAGGGGTGCCGCGTTGGCTCAGTTGGTAGAGCATGCGACTCTTGATTTCTGGGTTATGAGTTCAAGCCCCACACTGGGTGTATAAATTACTTCAAAAATATAAAATCTTTAAAAAAAAAATTGGAGTAATAAAAGTGGGAAGAGAAAGCAAGGACTATAAAAAATATATAAACTTAGGGATGCTTGGGTGGCTCAGTTGGTTAAGCGTCTGCCTTCAGCTCAGGTCATGATCCCAGGGTCCTGGGATCGAGCCCCGTATCGGGCTCCCTTTTCGGCGGGAGGCCCCTCTCCCACTCCCCCTGCTTGTGTTCCCTCTCTCGCTGTGTCTCTCTCTGTCAAATAAATCAATAAAATCTTAAAAAAAAAAAAAATCCTAAAAAAAAAAAAAAACATATATATATATATATATATATATATATATATATATAAACTTAAAAATACACAAAAGGTAAATACCCTGAAAAACCCCCTCCAAAAAAATCCCCCCATCCCATCACCCACCAAAAAAAATTAAGGAGGGGAGTCAAGAGAGAAAAGCAGCAGGGAGACTGAGCCTGGAAGGAAACAGATTTAATCAGCCATAAATGACCTCTCCCTACTTTCTGCCCCAGGCCTGCCCACCTCCCGCCCCACAGGCCCAGCCAATGGACTCTTGGGACTGGAATCAGCCACGCAGGATCTGATTGCTCCAAAAAAAGCTACAAACAACAGCCCAAAGGCAGGAAGCTGCCCCACCCCCAGCCTGCTCCAGCAACCATTTCCACAATTACCTGCTTTAAGGTGACTCCTTTTCCTATCTATGTCCCCTCCCCCTCACACCTGGCCCACCCTCTTCATTCTCCTCCCCTGCTTCTCTCCCTATCTAGAGTGTCTTCCCACCAATTCTACCTTCCTTTCCTAATGGATTAGGGATCAGAGGGTCAGACCCAACCTCACAAGACCTGGACAGTTTTCCCTCCAAGGGCCCTCACCAATCCAGGTCCTGCCAAGGTCACCTCCTTTCTTCTGATCTCCAAGGTCAGTTTCTGTCCCTTCCCTCCACCCTCACTTTCCTATTGCCCTTATTAAATACCAGGTCCAGTTCTCAGCACTTTGCATTTTTTATTTTTACTACAATCCTACAAGGTGGGCAGTTAGCATTTTAGAAAGAGGGAAATGCACCCCTCTGTAGAGGTCCAGAGGAGCAGTCCTTTGCCCAAGGCCACACAGCTGAAAAGCAGCAGTTTAGGAATATGAATTCACCTTCCAAAACACTACTCTCTGATCTGTAAAATTTCAGTTCATGACTCTTCCGCAGCCCAATGCCTCTCTCCCTGTAATCGGAACTTCCAGCTAGACTTCTGCTGTGTGAACTTAAACTGTTAGCAGCATCAACGCAAGGGGATTCTGACCCTTTTGATCCCTTTGGTAAGAATTAAGCATTTCTCGGGGGCCCCTAGGTGGCTCAGTGGGTTAAGCATCTGCCTCAGGTTAAGCGTCTGCCTTCGGCTCAGGTCATGATCCCGGAGTCCTGGGATGAGCCCAACATCCGGCTCCCCGCTCAGCAGAGTCCACTTCTCCTTCTGCCCCTCACTCACCCTGCTCATGCTCTCTCTCTCGCTCTCACATAAATAAATAAAATCTTTTTTTATTTTTAAGATTTTATTTATTTATTTTTGCGAGAAAGAGGGAGTGCGAGAGAGAGCATGAGCTGAGGGAGAGGCAGATAGAGAGGGAGAGGCAGACTCCCCGCCGAGCAGGGAGCCCAACGCCGGCAGGATCCTGGGATCCTGGGATCGTGACCTGAGCCGAAGGCAGACGCTCGACTGACTGAGCCACCCCGGCACCCCAAATAAATAAAATCTTAAAAAAAAAAAAAAAAGAAGAAGAAGAATTAGGCATTTCTCAAGTGTTACTCAGAAACGTGGGCAAGGTGGTGCCCTGTCTGGACCTCTCTCCCTCCTCTTTTCCCCAACAAAATTTTACTGATTATCTCCTCTGTTGAGTGACCAAAACATTAGACAAGGTCCCTGTTCTGGCATTCGATCAGGGACACAGGATCAAACGACTTTGTTACGCAATTCATTTAAAATCAGAACAGTAGTAAAGGAACAAAGAAATGCAGGGCACTTTGAAAGCCCGCGTCGGAGAACCCGATCTCTTTTTTCTCCTTTTTGAAGGGGGAGGGGGGGCCTTTACCAAGAAGAAAGTCTCTCCTTCGTGCAGTTTCACTCTCCAATGCCTGCGAGGAAATGTCTCGCCTTCCCCCCGTGTCCCTCCACGCGGCCTCCCGTAGGGCTGAGTGGCAACTAAAGAGGAATCCCCTCCCTCTCTCCAAGTTGTCTCCCTCCCTCCGGGTCCACAAAGGAGCTGCCTCACTTCTCATTTCCTGAGGAAATGAAGTTCTTCCCGACTGTCTTCTCCGATTAGTTCTCCCAGCCCCAGTCCCTTCTGTGACAGCCCTTCCTTCACTCCCTGCACAGACCCCACATCGGAAGACGGGGTTGACATCCTTACTCTCCCTCGGGGAAAACTCCCCAGGTACTCACAGATCTGGCCAGCCCCCGAGCCCCAGGCCGCCGCAGGAGCAGGAGGCCAGCCTGGCCCAAGCCTCGACTTGAGCCCCAGACCCTCGCTGCTGCAGCCGCCACCGCCATCTTGGCTAACAACCCCTCAGCCCTCCGCCCCTCTCCTCGGCTAGACTGCGGGCTGCCCCTTTATGAACCTGATTGAAATGTTAGCACCGCCCTGCCAAGAAACCGCGAGTTACCAATCCTGCAGTCTCTAGGGCACGGGTATGGGTGGACCAAACAATCTAGCTTGCCAAAAATTACTCTGATCGCCTCATCTTAGTTGTTTCTGTAACAGGCAAAGAAGAGGACAACCTAACCGGAGCCTCAGGGCTTTAGGGCCAGGGGGCCTCGGGTAGGACGAGCTCATGCCAGGGCCCTCCCCCTCATCTCTACTCTCCAATGGCATTCCTGGATTTGCGAGGCGGGAGTGGGAGGGGCCAGATTGTTAGTAAACGCGGAGCCACGTGCGGGCGCGGGTCCTGGCGCCCCGGAGCGGCGCGTGCGCACTGGATACGCAGCCAGTACGCAGGCGCGCGCTCTAGGGCGGAAGCGAGAGTCCGCGGCTGCACGTGGGGTCTGGGGCGATGGAGGGGGCGATGCTGCCTGATGCCAAGATCCGCACTGAGTCCGGAACAGAGTCCGGCCCACGGGGCCCTGGCTGCAGCCTCCGGCACTTTGCGTGTGAACAGAACCTGCTCTCCCGGCCTGACGGCTCTGCCTCTTTCCTGCAAGGTAAGAACTTAACCTACGTAAATACTGCGCGGGCCATGTTCGCCACATTGTATTTGTTTTAGAAGGATGTTACAGTGTACCTTGCAAAGGAGTGCCACTAGCTGATAAATGTCCCCCCTGGACTGTTGCAGTTCTTGCCCGGGGGGATGCTACCGGATGTGCCAGAATAACATATCTCTCCTTCCCGCCTGCAAGGGAGACGGTATCGCCAATCCTGTCAAATACTCAGATGAGAAAGGGGCAGACCTCCTCATAAGACCAAATACTCCAGAATAGAGAAGCGCTCCCCACCAAAGTGAATATCTCTCTTGACTAATTTCGTCTCCCGCCTCCCCCACGCACACGCAGGGTCCGTACACGCCAGGCTGAGGCGGACCTGTCCATATGCATAAATACCCTAGACTGGGGGCACCTGGGTGGCTCAGTCGTTAGGCGTCTGCCTTCCGCTAGGCTCGTGATCCCAGGATCCTGGGATCAAGCCCCACATAGGGCTCCCTGCTCCGCAGGAAGCCTGCTTCTCCCTCTCCCACTCCCCCGTTTGTGTTCTCTCTCTTGCTCTGTCTCTCTCTGTCAAATAAATAAATAAAATTAAAAAAAAAAAAAATACCCTAGACTGGTGGATCACCACCACCGGCCTCATTACTCTTTGGACTGTGGCATGTCTTTTACCCAAGTAAATACTTTTCAGATTGAGAGTGATGTCCCCCTTCTTCCCCACAGATGCGGTAAATATCCCTTTGACTGTGATATACATCTCTCCATATGAGTCTCTCTCTAAGTTTGGGGCAGGTCTTCCCTATTGGGTAAATATCCCCTTGCCCTAGCCAAATGCATCTCAGACTAGACTCAACTCCCTGACCCAGGTAAACATTCCTCTCGAGATAGGCACTGTTCTGGGCATTGGGAATACGTTGATAAAAAACATTTTAATTCCTGACCTAACAGTTTACATTCTAGTTGGGGAGACAGACCAAAGATAACTAAATAAAATATATAGGGAAATGCTGTGGAGAAAAATATAGTAGGGAATGGGGAATAGGGTGTGCCAGAGAGGATTGCACTTTTTTTTTTTCTTTAAGATTTTATTTATTTTTGACAGAGAGTGTGTACAAGCAGGGGAAGCAGCAGACAGAGGGAGAGCGAGAAGCAGGCCTCCCGCCGAGCAGGGAGCCTGATGGGGGCTCGATCCGAGGACCCTGGGATCGTGACCTGAGCTGAAGGCAGACGCTTAACCATCTGAGCCACCCAGGGGCCCCAAGGATTGCACTCTTAACAGGATGGTCAGGAAAGACCTTGATGAGATGGTAACATTTGAATAAAGACCTAAAGGTAAGGGAGCAAACCCTAAAGATAGCAGGAGGAAAAGCATACTGAGGGTGGAGAACGGGGGGGGGGGGGGGCAAAGACTCTGAGGCAAGGACGTGCCTGGTATATTTGAGGAATAGTCTGCAGATGGTGTGGCTGGAGCAGTGAGGAAGCTGGAGAGAGGTAAGGAGGATGGCCTGTCATTTGAGGCCTAATGAATGAGCTGGGGGCCACTGCTCCCAAATTTTGCTCAGAGTGGTGACATGATCTGAATATATTTTAACAGACTCTCTGGCTGTGGGGTTGACTGTAGAGGTATGGGAGAGAAGGGGAGATGGTGGTGGCTCGGACCAGAGTGGAAGCAGTGGAGATGGTGAGATTCAGGGTGTATATTGACAGTAAGACTGAGGGCGCCTAGGTGGCTCAGTTGGTTAAGCGACTGCCTTCGGCTCAAGTCATGATCACAGGATCCTGGGACCGAGCCCCACGTCGAGCTCCCTGCTCAGCGGGGAGCCTGCTTCTCCCTCTCCCTCTGCCTGCCGCTCTGGCTACTTATGCTGTCTCTCTATCTCTCTGTCAAATAAATAAATAAGATCTTTAAAAAAAAAAGAAAGAAAGAAAGTAAAACTGACAAAATCTGTAGGTGGTTCGGTGTTGGGGTGTGAAAAGGAGAGGGATAACAACCGAGGTGTTTTTCCCGAATGAGCTGTACTGGGAGAAGCTGAGGAGGTCAGTTTGGAACATTAAGTTTGCAGGGCCTGGTAGACATCACAGCAATCACATGGACAGGGCATTAGGAAATGCAAGTCTGCAGTTCAGAAGAGAGACCCCATCTGGACACATAATTTGGAATCCTCTGGCTATAGGTGGTATTTCAGCCACTGATTGGATGAAATCAAGAAAAGGAGTGTAGATGGGAAAGAGAAGACATCACAGGACTCAACCCTGGGTCCTCTAACCTGTGAGGAGCTAGGAAAAGAGAGAATAGCAGCTAGGAAGGTAGGAGGCAAACCAAGAGAGGGCACTGACCTGGGGCCTGGAGAAGTGTTTGAGATGTAAGGGCCCACCAGCTGCATCCATCCTCCAGACCTGTGACTGGACAGTCTGGACGTATGTCATCCATGACGCCGTCAAGAGCTGCTCCGGTTGGGGCACCTGGGTGGCTCAGTCGTTGGGCGTCTGCCTTCGGCTCAGGTCATGATCCCAGGGTCCTGGGATGGAGCCCCTGCATCAGGCTCCCTGCTCAGCGGGAAGCCTGCTTCTCCCTCTCCCCCTGCTTGTGTTCCCTCTCTCGCTGTGTCTCTCTCTGTCAGATGAATAAATAAAATCTAAAAAAAAAAAAAAAAAAGCTGCTCTGGTGGAGTGGTGGGGTCGGGGTGGAAAAGAAAAAGACCGCAAGTTAGAGACTGTCTTTAGGAGCTTTGCTGTATGGGGATCAGATACATGGGGCAGGAGTTGAAGGTGGATGTGGGTCCAGAGAAGAGAGAATTGTGGGAGCCACGTCCTTGAGAAGGTGACAGGGAGGGTCTCCCTAGGTTCATGGGGGCCACAGGCAGCTCGTCCAGACTAACAAGAATGAAGACCACTGTGTGGATCTCATTCTGTCGGTGTGGTTAAGTTCCCCTCTGAGGGCAGATTCTCCGGGAGCCAAGAGAATCCCTCAGTTCTGCAGCTCCTCCTCCCCAACCCAGGAAAGGTGCCCTGACCCCGGGGACCTTCCCAGGTCCTCCCCAAGACTTAGCTCTTCTGCTCCATTCACATGCCTGGAGTTTCTTCGACGTCAGAAATATTGAGGAGGGTGGCCCCTCCCGTGTTCTAAAACTCCCAAACCCCAGGACCCCATGCAGACTCTGGAGAGTATGTCCCACCCGCTTCTGGCCTCGGCGTCTCTTAACGGGGTTGTTAAAAAAGCGGAGTCCCAGAATGCACTGCGCACCTGCCAAGGTTGGCCCCTCTGCACTTGTAAGCACCGCGAAGATTCTGTGTGCAGGCCGGTGTTTTGAAGCTGTGCTCCTGCCCTGTGTTTCCCACTGCAGATTGTGGGCCCAGCTGCACGCTGGAATGGCCCGTGGAGCTCGGATGCGCCCAGTGCCTGTCCCCACCCCCCCCCCCCCCCGCAGTTGAATCGGAATCTCTGGGGGAGGGGGCTGGGCATCAGGATCTTCTCAGGCTCCCCAGTGATTCCAGTGTGCAGCCGATTCCAGTGTGCAGCCGGGCTTGAGAAACCACAGCTGCGTTCCGTAGTGTTTTTCTGTTTTTGTTTTTAAATGGAATAGAGTAGGGGCGCCGGGCTGGCTCCGTCCAAGGAGCATGTAACTCTTGATTCCAGGGTGCTGAGTTCGAGCCCCACGTGTGGTGTGGAGGTCACTTAAAAATCTTAAAAGTAAATAAGGAAAAGTAAATTAACTGGAATAGAGTAGAAAGCATCAGAGTGTGTTGGAGCAGTGACAGTAAGAGTTGTTTTGTGAGGCCTTTGTTCTGTTTACACACGCAGACATTTGCATGAGTGTGGAGCGGCGCCCATGCAATATGTGTCTTATTGGGAGTTATGGAGAGAAAAGTTTGGAAGCCACTGGTGTAGTCCAGTCTCTTCATTTTGCAGAGGATAAAACTGAGGCCCAGAAAAGTGAGCACAATCAGCCAAAGTTACAGAGCCAGCAGGAGGCAGACAGGACTGGAAGCCAGGCTTCTTCTCCCCCCCCCCTTTTTTTTTTTAAAGACTTCATTTATTTGACAGAGAGAGCACAAACGGGGGGAGCGGCAGGCAGAGGGAGAGGGAGAAGCAGACTCCTCTTTCTCAGGGGTCCCAACTCCTGCAGAGTTTGGGGATGTGAGCCTGAGGGAAGAGAGCCAGGTTGGAGGAAGCTTTGGAAGGAGCTGAGACCAACTGCAGTAAGGGGGAGGAAGGTTAGCTCTTGGGAAGAACTTTCTGTACAAGTAAACAACAGCTAAAGTCAACATCCACACATGCCCCGCAGTGTCCTCAGTGTCTTATGATCGACACAATGGGCGAGGCGCCATTATCATCCCCATTTCACAGATGAGGAAGCATAGGCAGAGACGTGAGTGAAGCAGATGCTCAGAGAATCACTGCCAGCAAATGGTGGGCTGGACTGGGGCTGACGGGGGTGGGGAGGCCTGGCTGCTGGCCTGGTCCCCACACTCTCAGGGCGCTGCGCTGCCCCCCCGCCCCAGGAAAGCAAGATGTGCATGAGGCCTCCCCTGCTGTCTCCCCAGGGGATACATCGGTCCTGGCGGGCGTGTATGGGCCAGCCGAGGTGAAGGTCAGCAAAGAGATCTTCAACAAGGCCACCCTGGAGGTGATCCTGCGGCCGAAGATCGGGCTGCCTGGTAATTGGGCCCAGCAGGATCTCCAGCTTCTTCCTCACCGCTGTCCCCAGTGCCCCCTCCGCCCTCCCCCCCTCCCCAGCTCTTGGTGTCTCCTCCCCACCTTAGTCTGTCCTCCCTCACTCCTCTTTCCTGGCTCTATCCCTCCTCCTCTCCACTAACCTGGCGTTCCACTCATTTACATTCCATTCATTTACTCGCCCCCTCACTCCCGGGGCTGGGTACATGGGGATGGGAGTGGGCAGCAGCAGGGGACCAGGGAACTCTGGGGTTTTCCTCCTGCAAGAGGCTCCCTTGCTGGAGCCAGAGGGGGCAGGGGTGAGGTGGGTATCAGTCAGGCCCTGCCTCCTTCCCACTGGGGATCCTCTGTCATCCATGCAGGGTCCTGCGCCAACCCTGGCGGAGACAGCAGGCCCTTTCCAGAGGCCTTGGGTGGGGCATATGGAGGAAGGTGAGCCAGAGGGAAGGGAAGAGGCTGACAACCCCACCCCACCCCACCCCACCCCTGATTTCCCCAGGCGTCGCGGAGAAGAGCCGGGAGCGGCTGATCAGGAACACGTGTGAAGCTGTGGTATTGGGAACGCTGCACCCCCGCACCTCCATCACTGTGGTGCTGCAGGTCGTCAGCGACGCTGGCTCTGTATCCTTTCCCCTGGGCCGCCACCTCCAGGAAGTCCCTCAGAAGCTCCCTGATGGCCTCCCCTGCTCTGTTAGCCAGAAGGCCTCCAGACACTTGATAGTCACCCGCTTGTTGAAGAACAGAATAGCAGACACTGCTTGAGGACTTACTGAGTGCTTGACACATATTAACTCACTTAATTCTCACAGCATAACAAATAGGTGCCACTTTTATAATCCCCGTGTTCCAAATGGGGAAACTAAGGCACAGCAAGGTCGGTTCCTATCTAGTGATTGGCGGAGCCAGGATTTGAGCCCAAGCCATCTGCTCCCAGAGCCCAAGGCCCCTGGCAGATGGGTGTTCTTGTGTCTTCATGTTTGCAGTGAGGAAGCAGGCCCCGAGAGGGAAAGTTGCTTGCCCAGGGTCACACAGCTGGAAGGCAGCAGAGAGAACTCACGCCCAGGCCTGACTGCCTGCAAAGCCTGTGCCGTTGACCTCCACTCTGCCCTGGCGCAATGCTAGGGGAGTCCTGAGCAGGCTGAGCAGTTGGGTCAGCAGCTTGGCCTAGAAAGACCCCTGTGGTTGGGTGAGAGGTTGGGGCTGAGGACCAGAAATGGGCGTTTCTAGAGGGGCTTCACAGAGCAGGAAACTGAAGCCCAGAAGGGAGGTGGAGTGGAGGGGCAGTGGCAGAGCTGGGACTGACTGACCCTAGAGCTGGACCCTTAGCCGCTGTGATGGGGCTGGGGGCAGAGACTAGAGGAAACTGAGCGAGGGCCGGCTGTCTGGCTCCAGGCCCGGGCTCGCTCCTCCCTCTGTCACCTGGTGGTGGCTGCCTCCACATGTGATTATGGGAGGTTCCTCCTCTCCCCGCCTTCAGTTTCCCTGAAAGTGCTTGGCACGTGCTTCAGGACAAATCTGTCGAGTATCGTTATGACCCCTGATTGAGGCTCAGAGAGAGTAAGTCACTTGCTCAAGCTCACACAGCTGAGAGGTGGCAAAGGCGGGTCAGGAACCCAAGGCTGCTTGATTCCAGAACCACCTAGAAGCACTGTGCCCTCCCGCCTCCCCGTGGTCAGTTAGGGAAGTCTGGCCACAAGCGCTGGTGGGCCATCCCTGTGGTGGGAGCGCTTCTTAACCCCGCCCTGTGGCACCCAGCTCCTGGCCTGTTGCCTGAACGCCGCCTGCATGGCGTTGGTGGATGCAGGGGTGCCCATGCGGGCCCTCTTCTGTGGGGTCACCTGTGCTCTGAACTCTGACGGCACCCTCGTGCTGGATCCCACAGCCAAGCAAGAAAAGGTAGGTTTGAAGGCCGGGCTGGTGAACGGCTGCGAGCAGACCCTGCCTCTCGCGGCCTCGCTTCCCCAAAACACTTGGCTCCTATCACGTCGGTCCCAGCTGGCAAGCTCTGGTCTGTTCTTCAGGGCAGGTGCTAGAACCCCGGCTCAGACCCACTTAAGTTAAAAGGGAACGTGTGGACCTTCGCTATGAAACTCAGAACAGAGGTCCAGCTAGACCCAGGGTCTCAAATACCATAAGGATTTCCTCGTCTGGCTTCTCAGCCTCTGCTGTCTTATGCACATTGGTTCCACTGGGTTCCATTCTCTAGCCAGCATCTTGCCCGAGCCTGTGATCAGCCCCTAGAGCTCCATGCTTTCCTCACCAGCTCAAGTTCACAGCACCCAGGGCTCTGGTTATTCCGAGATACTCACCCCGTCCTGTGATGGGCACATCCCGTCAGGAAAGCCGAACCCACCTGAGGTATTTCAGACCAGATAGGGAATTTACTGCAGGAAATGGGTCATGATCGTGTTGGAAGAGCCAAAGGAGCAAACAGGAGGGAGGGCGATACCCAGACACTAACAGCCTGTAGGGAGCTCCCAGTCTGCACTGTTGGGAGTCATAGGTGGTCTGGACACACATGAGGCGTCCTGGCTTGGCCCTGGAGCCCCCCACAACCCCAGCCTCCACGACACAGCCCCTGCTTCTGTCAGTGACGGCGGGATGTGGCCCTCCGTCCTTCAGCCTCACCCCCAGATTACCGGGGGCACCTAACTGGCCAGGGAGTCTGGGAAACAGTTTGCCAGCTTCCAGCCCTGGTGGGACAGAGCCGGGAAGGGGAGCAGGGGGCTGAGAGGTACCGGCTGATGACTGGCTGCACGGCCACCCCTACAGGCGGGAATACTGTGTCCGGAAGCCCCTGTTGGGACCATGTGGGTGGCATCGGGGCATGGGAAGCACTTCCACAGAAGGAAGGGCCAAGAGCGTTGCCCAGGGAAGCAGGGGCGGTGCGTAGACAAAACACCTACACTTGGGAGTGCGGGCTGGGGGAAGGGCAGGTCCCCTCTTTGGGACTAGCTGAGACTCTGCCCGAGGGGAGAGTCCAGGTGTCCTTCCTACCTCATCCCTAGGAGGCCCGGGCCGTCCTGACCTTTGCGCTCGACAGCGTGGAACGGAAGCTGCTGATGTCCACCACCAAGGGGCTCTACTCCGATGCTGAGGTACCTGTGTGAAGATGGGGTGAGGGCCAGATCCCTCCTGGATGTGAGGTCTTGTTGGGACCCTGCGAGATTGAAGGAGAGCCCCTTCCTTACGTCCCTTCTGTATGTAAAAGGCATTTTCAAACATAGTAGGCACAGAAACCCTTGTGGGAATTTTTTTTTAATTTTTTTTTTAAGATTTTATTTATTTGCGAGAGAGAGAATGAGAGACAGAGAGCATGAGAGGGAGGAGGGTCAGAGGGAGAAGCAGACTCCCTGCTTAAGGAGGGACTTGATCCCGGGACTCCAGGATCATGACCTGAGCCGGAGGCAGTCGCTTAACCAACTGAGCCACCCAGGCGCCCAACCCTTGTGGGAATTTTAAAGGGAAGCCCCAGTCATGAGAGCAGAGAGGAGAGAGCTCGGGTTGGGATCGGGATGTGAGGCACCTCCAGTTCAGAGCAGTGCGCTCCCAGAATCCCAGTGCTCTGGTCTCCGAGAGCACTTCCGACCCGTTCCTCCTATGAGCCTAGGAATGTGTGGTGCTCAGGAGCTGGGGTCCCAGATTCCACAGCTTCCAAGATGATCTGGCATCACAGGGCCTGTGGCTCAGAAATTCTAGATCTCCAGTTGGAGATGGGCCAGGTTCATGAGGCCTCTTCCAGGGGTCAGGATGCCTGCTCCCACCTGTCCACGCTCCTGGAGCTGCCGGAATCAGACCCCCGAAGCCCTCCCCTTTTTCTCTGTTCCCTATCTAAGAAAGAGCCCACCAAGTGGGGAAGAAAGAAAGGCCTTTGAAATACTCCCCTGGCCACCTGCCCTACTTCAGGGGAGGCAGGAGGCCTGGGAGCTCCAGGAACCAGCCGGGGTCGGGGCAGGCTGTGGGGTCAGCCGGGCGGGAGCAGGGAGGCCCCAGCACCACCAGCTCTCTCTCCGCCTCCAGCTCCAGCAGTGCCTGGCCACGGCCCAGGCTGCCTCGCAACACGTCTTCCGCTTCTACCGGGAATCGCTGCAGAGGCGTTACTCCAAGAGCTGAGACAAGCCGGGGCAGGGCGCCCCTCCCGTGGCTGCCGCCGCCCCCCACTACCTCCGCGGAAAATAAACCAGCAGCTGGCCTCGCCTCTCAGTCCCTGTGCACCCAGATGCGCTTGTGGGCCTGGGGGCACGGACCCACCTTGCTCCCCCCAAAAGCCTTTCCGACTGGGAAACCCCCCTTCTCCACCCGCCAGTCTGACCGATACCTGTGGGGCACCCGGGGTAAAGAATGACCCCCCCTCCAGGTCCCAGGTTCAAGGAGCAGCAGGGTGAGGGGCAAAGAAAATCAGCGTTTGTCAGGTGGTGGTAAATGCTATGAAGAAAGCGAAGAGCAGGGACGGGGTTTGGGGAGGGCGAATTTAATACGTTAGTGAGGGACATCTGCGGGGGGTGGGGTGCATCCGAGGGAAGCCCGGGAGGAGGCCTCCGGGAGGTGGGGCACCAGCAAGGCTTCCGTGTGGCTCTGGTGGTGGCTGGAGCAGAGCGAGATGGGTCGGGGAGGGAACGGGCACAGTGGTGAGGCCCTGTGGGTCTTAGCATCCCGGTCTTAGCCTGAAGAAACGGGCTCAGCAGCCAGTGAGCTGCCAGATGTCACCAGTGAGTCCGAGTCCAGCCCCAGAGCCTGTCACTGCTCAGAAAGGCTGGGGAGACACCAGCACAGTCTTGACTGCAGTTCCCCATCTGTAACCGGAAGTGACTGGGGCCCATGTTTCTCGTGGCGTGGTAGCACCCCCCCCAGGGTGTATGGAAATATGGGGGGGTGGTTAGTTGCCATTTGACCGCTCGGTCCCTCGCCCCCGTATTTAGCGGGCAGGAGCTAAGAACATGAGAGCATCCCTCGAGGAGTAACCGTCCCACAGCTGGGCCACATGGTCACCAGATTCTGTGGGGCATTGACATTTGGGGGTTTGCAGTGAAAATTATATGTCTGGCGGGCCCTCTGCTGCGTGCTTCACATGCTTGAACTAGTTCACGCAGTTCCCACAATTGCCCCCTTAGAGCCTGTGTCATTTTCGTCCCCAGTAACCGAGAAGGAGAAGCATCAAAGTCTTTAGCTTGAAATTCCGTGCCGTGAGACGGGAGAACTCCAAACGGGAAAGTGTTTTCTTCTAGTAAGATCCACTGGAATGGCATTAAACAGAGAACTAAACCACCTGTCATACCATTACTTGGTCATCTCTCAGGCCCGCTCAGTGAGCACACCTGTGCCTCTGGGGAGCACTTGGGGGTCCGTCTGCCAGGGCGGGGGGGGGGGGGCTAGTGCCCTAGTGCCTTAAGGTTCCAGCCCTCCTGGTCTCTGGCCATGTCATTCCCATGGGGTGCCTCAGCTCCTGGGGCCATCTTTCTCCCCCAGAAGCCTGCACAGAATGAGGCCAACGGGAAAGGAGGGCCAAGAGATGGAGAGACCAGACCGCTCATTTCATTTGAGCCCCCAAGTCCAGTTTCTGCCACTTGCTGTGGGAAGAGCTCAGAGGGATACTGCCCTCTACAGGTGTGACCCATTCGGTCCTCCCCAGAGCTCCCAGGGGTGGAGAAAGTCCCATTTTGCAGAAGGGAAAATGTGAGGCTCAAAAAGAAGTCACTCGGGCCAAGGTGGCACAGCTAAGGAGAAGTAAGCCCTTGGAACCCAGCTCTCCCTAATTCTTTACAGACCACGGTGCTTCGAGGAGAACATTCTGCAGTTGGGAACCCTCTGCCCCTCGGATTCCCCCTTCTCCAGCTCCAAGGTCTCTGGGGACAGCCTGTCGTCACCCTGACCTGGTCTCAGTGCCCCGAGCTCCCTCCTTCCTCCCCCCGCCCCCCAACACGCACGCACACACACACAGGTTTGGCTGCAAGAGTGGCGTTTAATCTCACGCTGTGGCGGCCAGGAAGGAGGGGCTTGCGGCCGCCGCCGCCTCATCCACCCGGGTTCTCCACGTTGCCTGCCGACGCGCCAGGGTCCCGGCCCCTGATTCACAGTGGGGGCCGCAGGGGCAACTAGGGCGGCTCTCGGGAGGCCAGGTAGGCGGCCAGGGTCACCAGGGCGGCCGCATATGTGCACACGCCCAGCCCGACGGCGAGGACCCCCAGCAGGAAGGCGCGGCGGGAGGCAGCCCCTGCCCCCTGGACGTCCCCCTTGGCCCAAGCCTTGTTGGTCTGTGGAGGCGTTGGGCAGGGTGACTCAGGCATCCCCTCATCCCACCCCGCTGCCCGCAGCCCCAGACCCTTCCCCTGCGCCCGCCCACACCGGCACACCCACGGGCTCATTCATAGATTCCAAAACCAGGGAGCAGCTACTGCGGGTCAGGCACAGCTGGGCACAGGGGAGCCCGGGGTGGTCAGTAAGAACAGACCTCTATTACTCGGTGCCACCGTTCTAACTCATTGGAGCTTCACAATGACCCAGAGGGAGGAATTATTCCCATTTCACAGTTGAGGACAAGGAGGCACAGGGAGGTTGAAGTGGCTTGCCCAAAAATCCTAACGGGGTGTGTCAGACCTAGGATTTGAGCTCAGGTTCCTAACCACCGCTCTGGGCTTTCACTCTGAGACACTCGTTTTACCTTTCCATGTTTCTATGCCGATCCTTCTCTCCACCTTTGTTCTCCCTCCCCCGCCCCCCACGCATAGCACCTCTGTTTTGTTCTGAATGCACCTTTTCTCTTCTATCCAGCCCCCTCCCGGCCCCACCCACAGACTGACCTTCTGGGCCAGGCAGAAGGCAGCGATGCCCACAGGCCAGAAACAGCATAACATGGAAAAGACAGCCAAGCCGAGGTGGTCGTGGGGTAGGAGCGGGGAGAGAAGGCTGCCCCCGTCCCAGTCCGAGTCGCTGTCACTGGATGATGCATCCTGTGGGTAGGAAAGGGCCTGAGTGGGCTTCTCTGCCCACCTTCCCTGCCCCACTGCTCTGCTCCCCGTAGCCCCCAAAGACCAATACCAGGGCCTTCCCCAGAAACACCAAAAAGAGGAAAATGATCCAGAAGTAGGCTCTTAACTCTCTCCAGCCTGGATCCCCTTGAGGGGAAGCTGGGTAACCTCTCTCCAAAGAAGAACCCCCATCCACAGCCAAAGCTTTATGTTCAATGTCAAAGACAAGGTCCCACCATGGATACCACAATTTCAGAGTTAAAACTGGAGGCAGAGAGGCGCCTGGGTGGCTCAGTCGGTTAAGCGGCTGCCTTCGGCTCAGGTCATGATCCCAGGGTCCTGGGATCGAGCCCCACGTTGGGCTCCCTGCTCAGTGGAGAGTCCGCTTCTCCCTCTCCCTCTGCCTGCCTCTCTGCCTACTTGTGCTCTCTCTCTCTCTGTCAAATAAATCTTAAAAAAAAAAAAAACTGGAGGCAGACACCAATGGGGACAGGAACCAGCAAAAAGTTGGAGATAAACAGCTCTGGTGGCCTAAGTTACTAGGACAAACCTGCCAGCTGAAAACTATAAATTCTAGATTTAAAAAAGTTTGCTTTTTTTAAATCTTGCATTAAATAGCGCACATGATTTTAAGCAATTCTTGTAAGGCCAAAACTGCAATTAAAATCCAAGTTAGGGGGCGGCTGGGTGGCTCAGTCATTAAGCGTCTGCCTTCGGCTCAGGTCAGGATCCCAGGGTTCTGGGATCGAGCCCTGCTCAGTGGGAAGCCTGCTTCTCCCTCTCCCATTTCCCCTGCTTGTGTTCCCTCTCTCACTGTGTCTCTCTCTGTCAAATAAATAAAATCTTTGGGGGAAAAAAAAAATCCAAGTTAGAGAGGGCAAACAAACAGAGAAGGCCTCTTTTGGCCCTGCAGCCAATTGTCAATCCCAGAAAAATAGCCTCTCAATCCAACCGTGAACTAGATGAAAAGTGATCTCTAACCACTGTGGCGCCCCCAGGCAGCTAGCTGGCAGAAGCAGACCAACTCCTCTCTGGAGAAAGGTACTTACCTTCAGTCTAGGCCTCAAAATAATTTTTCCTAAAGATAGTTTTTGAACCGTGATGACCAGCATACAGTCCAAAGATAACCGGGCACACAAGAAACCCTAAATAGCAGAAATAATAAGGCCCTCCCTCAAAATCTTCAAAGAATGGAATTACCAGACACATAACGAGATGTCAAAGTGACCCCAACCGCCTCACTGTGGCAGACGGTGTTTCCAAAAACGGCCACAACCAGCTCTCATCCCACATGCTCTTCTTATAGTGTGACTGATACTCTTCCCACCAAGGGGTGAGGTCTGTGTCCTCTCTCCTTGGGTCTGGGCAGGCTGTGACTCACTCATAATTGGTAGAATGTGGTGGAAAGGATGCCACATGACTTCCAAGCATAAGTCAGAAAAGGTGAGGCCGTTTCTGCCTTGCAGAAGCACTCGGGCTGGGGGCTGGGGGCACAGGAGGATGTGGACCATGCTGAAGCCGCCATGTTGTGAGGAGGCCCAAACCACTCCACAAGGGGAGCCTCAGGCAGAAGCCCCAAGACTACATTAAGAGATACCCACCCAGCGCCCAGCTCCTTCAGCCCCCGACCGTTTCAGCTCCAGCCACTGGCTGACCGCAACCTCATGGAAGACCCTGAGGCAGAACCACCCAACCCAGGCCCTCCCAAATTCCTGACCCGTGGAAACCATGAGCCATAATGATTGTTGCTGTTTTAAGCAACTGAGTTTCGGGGTGATTTCTTACGCAGGAATAGTAACTGGAAAACCATGTGTTAAGATAATAAAAGACAAGCGGGGAGTCTGGCCGGCTCAGTCGGTAGAGTGTGCAACTCTTGATCTCGGGGTCGTGAGTTCGAGCCCCAAGCTGGGTGTAGAGATTACTCAAAATCTTTTTTAAAAATAAATCAATAAGTAGAAGACAAGCTTCACAGTATACACAAGGAATAAGAAATTGTACAAATTAACACATTAATTTGAAAGAAAGAGACCAGGACCGAGAGAGAGAGAGAGAGATGGAAAGACAGAGAATAGGGGAGTCAGAAATCAGAGGGAAGACAGAGAGCCAAAGGTGCGGGAAGAAAGATGAGGGACAAATCTGGAGAGAAAAAGGTGAAACCAGGGGAGGCATAAAACAGGCAAAACCACAACTGGACATCTAGGAAGCCCCCACACAGTTGGGAAGTGAGACTCCAGGCTGAAGGCAGATACCCCAGCCTCCGACCTACCCGGGGTTGGCCACAGCCCAGTTCGTTCACCTCCAAGCCCCCTCCCCCAGCTCCCACTAAGGCCTGCTGTTCCTACCTCCAGGTCAGGGGGCCCTGGCTCCCCAAGACCAGCGCTCACAGAGGGAAGAGGCAGTGGTAGGAACTGCCAACCCCCCAGGGACTCTGTCTCTCGAAAGGGAGGCCCCAGCTGGGGTTCCCCAGGCTTCTGGATGGGGGGCCCACAGCCCACGCCCGCCAGCAGAGGCTGTTGGAGCTCTCGAAGACTGGGGCTGTCCATGGTTGGGGAGAGGCTCCCGGAGGGGTTTTCTGGAGGTAGAGGAAAGCAAAAAGACAAGTTGAAAAAGTCTCACCATCTTTCCCCTGACTCCTGACTCTGGAGAGATTCCTGGCAGAGACTAGTTAGTTCATTGACCCTCAGACTCGTTTGACAGAGACTGAAACTGAGGCCCACAGAATAAAAGCTGGGCCAAGTTGCAAAGAGAATTCGCGGGGTCTAGATACTCAGTTCTGGGATTCTGTCTCCTCGGGCAAAAACCACATACCTGTTGCGCACTTATTCCAAACCATGCTTTGCACACTTACTTGCCCCATGAACCACACATCCCCTGTGCCTACAAGTCTGCACCCTGAATACCCAAGTCCCCTGCTACACACTCAACCAGGCAAGCCCAACCCCCACCTCCAGGCACTCATCTCCCAAAGGGCTCCTTGCATACTTGCCCTGAACAACATCAGCTCCCATTAAATACCCCTCTGGAGCCCCAACCTTCTTACACACTCCTCCCAAATGACCCCTTGCACACTCCTAATCCTCCCAGCATCAGACCCCCTATTTGCACACATAAGCACGGGTTTTCCACGCAAGCACCCCATCACTTACTTCCCTTGCGCACCTGCCCCAAACACCCGGTCCACGCATCCTTCCCCTACCCCACCCACATCCACGGCGCTACACAATTGCCTGCACACGCACCAGCTCCCCTACGCTCCTCTTTTACCAGAATCCACCTCTGCACCATTCCCCCATAACAGCCCCAACCTACCACACTCATACACACTCAACCACCAGGAATATTGCCACCCCACGATCCCCCCCGGGGCCTCCCAAGCCTCCCGCCCTCATTCCAAACCTGGCTGGAGCCGATTTCCTCACCAAGGGTTCGCCTCCCCATCCCCAACACTAGGACCCGGCGGAGGGGCCGTGCCGCCCACCTGTGCCCCTCACTCACCGCCCACGGCCATATGTCGGGACCTCCTGGGCCCCTGCACCGACACCCGTCCCGACCCTGCGCCCCGCGGGTGGCACGGAACTCAGGGAGGCCCGCGCTCCCCGGGACCCCGGGCCTGGGGGGCGCGGGGTCTGCGCGTTGCGCTGGGCTCCCCTCTCGGCGCCCCAGGCCCGCAGCGCGCGGGGGCGGGGATGGGGGCGGGGCTGCGGGCGGCCGGCTCCGCCCTCCGCCGCGGCCGGGGAGGGGGCCTTGAAGGCCGACGTCAGCGCCCAGCGCAGAAACCCTGCCAACGCAGGTGTGCGGGAGCCAGCGCAGCGCGGGTGCGGAGGGACTCCGAGGACGGCGGACCCTGCCACCCCGCCCCCGCCTCGAGCCCAGGCCCAAGCGCTGCGGGGAGGAGGAGGGGGCGCCCCCGATTCTCCAGGGCCTTCCTGGCTCGGCCCCGCCTCCACCCCGCCACTCTCCTTGCCCAGTACTAATAACAGCCACGGCGGCTAGGTGGGTGCAATGCTCTTGGGGCCGTGCATGGGCACGCACACCCTGATTCTTGAGCACGGCCGAACAGGCCCCGTCAGGTACTGTCCTGTGGGACGCAGAAGGAAACGGGCGCAGAGAGGCTGGGGACTTGCACGCCGCCGGCTCGCTGAGCGCCGACTAAGGCCGGACCCCTGGCCGGTGCCTGAGACGCTTTAGTCACCATCGCATTGACTCTTCTCGGCAGCTCTCTTTCTGTCTCTGTTTTACAGATAAAGAAACTGAGGTTCCGAGGCGTGTGCTCTCTTGGCCGAGGTAAACAACTGGAGCTAAGACCCGCAGATTGCACCCCGGGGCTGTATTCGGGGCTGGCGGGGTGGCGGGTGGGGGGGGGCGTCCAGGGAAAGGAGGGAGAGGAGGGTGTGGCCCGGGAAAGGGGTGATGTGCTGGTTATCAGGTGGTACAAGAGGCTGTCATGCCTCAGTGTTTGGACCCACACAGGCCCGACTGGCCTTCCAGGCTCTTCAAGGCACTTGCTGTGTGACCTCTGGATGATGGCATCACCTCTCTGAACCCTAACTCTTTCATCTGTGAAATGGGCGACACACTCCCTGCCTCGGGGATGTCGGTGTAGATCACATACACAAAGCACTCACATCAGGTGTGATAACCAATGTCCCACATTTCCCCAAAGCCTGGCAAATGCAGGCACTCTGAATATATTTGATGATGTTGAGGGATATCATTATGCGGTACTGGCTCTGTCAGTCTGAATAAGGGACCCTCCTCACCCCTCCCTCACCGAGCCCACCCGGCTTACACCGCCTTCTCCTTCCCAGAGGCCCTCCATCTCAGCCAACCCAGTCAGCCAAACTGGAGGATTCCCCTCCCGACGTGGGGCTGGCCAGAGTTCCCTCGCTCGAGGGCTCCAGGGCTCCAGGGCTCCGTGCCAAGAGTCCAGACGCTGGAGTTGGCACGGGCCCCACTCCGGGGGAGAGCAGATGGTGTCTGCAAGTGCACTTGGCTCAGCCAAAGTTTCTGACAGACGACAAGCGGGGAGACCCACTGGAGGCTAGATGAGAGGGACCTGGAGCGGGGTTGTTTTATCTGAGAGAGATAACCTGTCACTAGCTCCTTAACCAGGCTCTGGTTGTTTTTTCATCCAGCTTATCACTACGAAACATAGTCTATACTTCTGTTGTTTGTAGTCTGAATCCTCCCCCCATCAGTATCCGCTTCAGGAGGGCTGGGATTTGATCTGATCGCTTTTGTTCACTGCTCTGCCTCAGGGCCTGGAACAGTGCCTGGCACAAAGTAGCCCTTCAGTACATATTTGTAGGAAATGGGGGCGGGGGGCATCGGTTTTCCACCAAATCTTGGAGCACTTTCTACTATCGCTCGGCATATCCGATGACCCAGAAATTCCATTCCAACCAGATGTGAATATATGTCCCCCACAAGGCAAATCTCCATCCGATGGATGGGTAAATAAGTTGTAGCATCTTCCTACCAAGAAAACTATACAGCAAAGAAAAGGAAAGATCCACAGCCACGTGCAACAGTGTGGGTGAGTTTCACCATCGAAATGCTGAGCACAAGACGGGAGACACAAAACAGTGTGTACGGTGTGATTTCATTTATATAAAATTCAAAACCAGGCAAAAGTAATCCATGTTGGTAGAAGTCCAGTTAGTCGTTACCCTCGGGGGCACTCTGAGGAAAGGTCATGTTCTTCTCTTGAGCTGACCTCTGATTATCAGGTGTGGTTAGTTTCTGGAATTTAATCCAGCTGTTGTTCACTTATGATTTATGCACTTTTCTGGACATAGATTATACTTCAAAACAGTTTTTTTTAAAGTGAGTTGGATCTCTGCAGACTGACCTGGGTCACTTCTTAAGATGTATCACTGAGGGGAAAAAGCAAGATAAAAAACACTACATACCGTCGCTATGGAAAACAGTATGGCAGTTCCTCCAAAAATTAAAAATAGAATTACCATATAACCCAGCAGTTCTACTTCTGGGTAGGTACCCCGAAGAGCTGAAAGCAGGGTCTTGAAGAGACATCTGTACAGCCATGTTCAGAGCAGTGTTATTCACTAGAGCCACGAGATGGAAGCAACCCCAGGGTCCATCAACAGATGACTGGATGAAGAAAATGGGGTACCTATTATCCAGCCTTAAAAAAGAGGAAGAAAATTCCAGGGCGCCTGGCTGGCTCAGTCAGTAAAGCGTGCGACTCTTGATCTCAGGGTTGTGAGTTCAAGCCCCACGTTGGGTGTGGAGCCTACTTTAAAAAAATGATAAAATAAATAAAACAAAAAGGGAGAAAATTAGGACGTGCGTGACAAGATGGACTAACCATGAGGACATTATAAAAGGACAGCTGCTCAACCATTCCACCTCTGTGAGGCACCCGGATAGTCGTATTAATAGAGACAGAAAGCAGAGAGGTGGGGCGCCTGGGTGGCTCAGTCGTTAAGTGTCTGCCTTCGGCTCAGGTCATGATCCCAGGGTCCTGGGATCGAGCCCTGCATCCGGCTCCCTGCTGTGTTCCCGCTCTCGCTGTCTCTCTCTGTCAAAATAAATAAATAAAATCTTAAAAAAAAAAAAAAAGAAAGCGGGCACCTGGGTGGCTCAGTTGGTTAAGCGACTGCCTTCGGCTCAGGTCATGATCCTGGAGTCCCGGGATCGAGTCCCGCATCGGGCTCCCTGCTCAGCGGGGAGCCTGCTTCTCCGTCTGACCCTCCCCCCTCTCATGCTCTCTATCTCATTCTCTCTCTCAAATAAATAAATAAAATCTTTAAAAAAAAAAAAAAAAAAAAAAGAAAGCAGAATGGTGGTTGCCAGGACCTGGAAAGATTGGGGGGCGGGGGTGTTGTTGGTTTTTGCTTGTAGTTTGTTTGTTTGTTTATTTAATATATATATATATATTTTTTTTAAAGATTTTATTTATTTATTCATGACAGAGAGAGAGAGAGAGAGAGAGGCAGAGGGAGAAGCAGGCTCCCAAGGAGCAGGGAGCCCAATGCGGGACTCGATCCCAGGACCCTGAGATCATGACCTGAGCCGTAGGCAGATGCTTAACCATCTGAGCCACCCAGGCGCCCTATTTAATATATTTTTAAGTAAGCCCAATGTGGGACTCCAAGTCATGACACTGAGATCCAGAGTCGCAAGCTCCACTGACTGAGACAGCCAGGCACCCCTGTTTGTTTTTAGTTTAGTTTTTTTTTAGTTTTTTAGTTTTTTTGGCTTTTTAAAGTATAGTTGACACACAGTGTTACGTTAGTTTCAGGTATAAACATAGTGACCCAACTTCACTATGCCTTATGCTATGCTGACCACAGGTGTAGCTACCATCTGTCACCCCACGGCGCCATGACAATATCATTGACCATACGCCCTATTCTGCATGTTCCATCCCCGATTCATTCATTCCACAACTGAAAGCCTCCTTCTCTCACTTCCCCTCATGCAGCTCGCCCATCCCCCAGGCCCCTTCCCTCTGGCAACCATCAGAAAGCATCATCTTGGGACGTTTTTATTTTTATTACTTATTTATTGATTTATTTTAGAAAGGGGGAGAGAGAGACCAGGGGTGGGGGGGTGAGAGGGGCAGAGGGAGAGGGAGAGAGAAAATCTTAAACAGGCTCCACGCCTAATGTGGAGCCCAGTGCAGGGCTCCATCTTATGACCCTGAGATCATGACCTAAGTTGAAACCAAGAGTTGGATGCTTAACTGACTGAGCCATCTGGGTACCCCAGGGACATTGTTCCTTCATGGGCACAGAGATTCAGTTTTGCAAGATGAAAAGAGTTGTAGAGATTGGTTACACATTTATGTGAATGGACTTAATGCCACAGATCTGTACACCTAAAAATGGCTAAAATGGTAACTTTTATGTTATGTATCTTTTACCACAGTTCGTTTAAAATTTAAAAATAAAAAGTAAAAAATAACTAAATATTCAGTTTGCAGGGCGCCTAGGTGGTTCAGTCATTAAGCATCTGCCTTCGGCTGGGGTCACGATCCCAGGTGGGATCAAGCCCCGCATCGGGCTCCCTGTTGGGCGGGAAGCCTGCTTCTCCTCCACTCCCCCTGCTTGTGTTCCCTCTCTCGTGGTGTCTCTCTCAAAGAAATAAATAAAATCTTTAAAAAAAATTAATAGCAAACATTTATCACACCTAAATCTAGGTACCGTCCTAGATTTATTACGTATTTGTATTAGTTATCTATTGCCCCATAACAAATCATTCCCCAAAACCTAGTGGCTTAAAACAAACATTTATCATCTGACATAGTTTCTGCTGGTCAGGGATCTGGCAGTGGCTTAGCTGGGTGGTTTGTTTTTTTTTTTAAGATTTTATTTATTTGACAGCGAGAGAGAGAGTGAGCACAAGCAGGGGAAGCGGCAGACAGAGAGGGAGAAGCAGAATCCCTGCTGAGCAGGGAGCCCGATGCGGGACCCAATCCCAGGACCCTGGGATCATGACCTGAGCTGAAGGCAGATGCTTAACGACTGAGCCAGCCAGGCGCCCAAAGCTGGGTGGCTCTAACTCCAGGTGTCCCATGCCGGCCAGGGCCGCAGTCATTTGAAGATCTGACTGGTGTTGGAAGATCTGCTTCCAACGTGGATTGCTGGCATTGTTGGCAGGAGGCTCCAGTTTGTCCCCTTCCGGGTCTCTCCATTGGCTGCTTCTCTGCTGTCACAACCTGGTGGCTGACCTCCCTCCCAGGGAGCCACCCAAGAGAAAGAGCAAGGAGGAAGCTTCAATGCCTTTTATGACCTAGTCTTGGAAGTCGCAGAGCAACACCTGTGTCATGCTGTATTGGCCAGAAGCAAGTTTTAAGTGCAGCCCATAATCCAGGGGGAAAGGAATTAGCTTCCACGTATCGAAAGAAGGCATATCAGGGCGCCTGGCTGGCTCAGTCAGAAGAGCATGAGAGTCTTGCCCTACATGGGTGTAGATATTACTTAAAGAAATAGAAACTAAAATAATAATAATAATAAAAGAAAAAGAAAGAGGGCACCTGGGTGGCTCAGATGGTTAAGCGTCTGCCTTCGGCTTGGGTCATGGTCCCAGGGTCCTGGGATCGAGTCCCACGTCGGGCTCCCGGCTCAGCGGGGAGCCTGCTTCTCCCTCTGACCCTCTCCCCTCTCATGCTGTTTCTCTCTCGCTCGCTCTCTAAAAAATAAATAAAATCTTTATAAAGAAAGAAAGAAAAGAAAGAAAAAAAGAAGAAAACAAGCATATCAAAGAATCTGTGGACAGGGGCGCTGGCTGGCTCAGTCAGAAGTGCATGTCACTCTTGATCTCCAGGTCATGAGTTTGAGCCCCACATTTGGACATTGCGCTTTCTTAAAAAAAGAAAAAAGAAAAAATCTATAGGCACAGTTTAAAACAGCTTCATACATTAAGTCATCCAGTCCTGACGATAGTCCAACAAGTTGGGTCCCATCATTCATCCTCACATTACAGAAAAGAAAACCATGGTACAGAGAGGCTATAGGTCACACAGAAGGGGCAGAGCCGAGACTTAAATCCAGGTAGTTGACCTGGGAACCATTTTCGTAATCACTAAAATCAACCAGTAGGGAGAAAACCAATTAAAGAGAAGATATTTAAGAAGGAGCACTGGGGAGCCTAGGTGGCAAGTTGGTTAAGCCTCTGACTCTTGGGTCCGACTCATGACTTGGGTCATGACCTCAGGGTCCTCCAATAGAGCCCTGCCTCTGGTTCCTTGCTCAGCGTGGAGTAGGCTTGGGATTCTCTCTCCCTCTGCCCCTCCCCCCACCCATGCTGTCTCTCTCTAAAATAAATAAATCTTTACAAAGAAATGAAGGAGCACTGACAGCACTTGACTGGTTGGACGTGGGAAGTGATGGAGTCTTGGATCACACCCAGACACAACCTCCATATTCCTTTGAAAACTGAAAGACATGCATTCAAGGAAGGAAGTACAGCAGAGATGTTAAGAACAGAACGTTTAGGGGCACCTGGATGGCTCAGTCAGTTAAGCGTCTGCCTTTGGCTCAGGTCATGATCCCAAGATTCTGGGATCAAGTCCCTCGTCGGGCTCCTTGCTCAGCGGGGAGCCTGCTTCTCCCTCTCCCTCTTCCTCCGGCTCCCCCTGCTTGTGAGCTCTCTCTCTGAGAAATGAATAAATAAAATCTTAAAAAAAAAAAAGTACATAAGGTTTAGTGACAGAGTTAGATAGAACTATAGTCAATTTGGCTTAAGGTAAATGATGTTGCCCTAATTTCATCTTTTTTAACGATTTTACTTATTTATTTGATAGAGACACAGCGAGAGAGGGAACACAAGCAGGGGGAGTGGGAGAGGGAGAAGCAGGCTTCCCGCAGAGCAGGGAGCCCGATGTGGGGCTCGATCCCAGGACCCCTGGATCATGATCTGAGCAGAAGGCAGATGCAGAAGGCAGACTGAGCCACCCAGGCCCTTATTTCTTCATCTTTTTTTTTTTTTAAAGATTTATTTATTTATTTGAGAGAGCGAGAATGAGAGAGAGAGAGCACATGAGAGAGGGGAGGTCAGAGGGAGAAGCAGGCTCCCTGCCTAGCAGGGAGCCCGTTGCGGGACTCGATCCAAGGACTCCAGGATCATGACCTGAGCCGAAGGCAGTTGCTTAACCAACTGAGCCACCCAGGCGCCCTTATTTCTTCATCTTAAATAAAGCTGATAATATTAACTACCCTGTCGGATGTCTGAGGATTAAACAAAATCATGCGTGTAAAACGTTCAGTTTACAGGGTCTGGCACAGAAAAAACACTCGCTAAATGGTAGCTTTCAAATATCTCTCTTAGTGAAATTATTTTATTGAATTATTTTATTTACGTAAATACCATTCTATTAAAATGTTGCCCCCTCCCTGTAATTTTGAAGATTTTATTTCTTCGTTTGACAGAGAGAGAGAGAGAGAGAAAATGAGTGGGGGAGGTGGGGCAGAGGCAGAGGGAGAAGCAGGCTCCCCGCTGAGCAGGGAGCCCCATGCTGGGCTGGATCCCAGGACCCGGGGATCATGACCTGAGCCCAAGGCAGACGCTTAGCTGACTGAGCCCCCCAGCCACTCTCCCTCCCTGTAGTTTTGAGGTGGTGACTCTAACTTGTGTAGTCCCATTTTGCTAAAAAGTAGGAAAATGAGTTTCCTTTGGACTCGTGGTCTGGGCTGGAGGAATTCGGACTAGGGTTCAAGTGGATTTAGAGGGTGGAGAAGGCACACTGCTCAGGACATCAGAATGTGTCAGCGCCTCTGACTCAGTCACTCTACTTGCACCCATTACACGGATGAGTTAACTGAGGCCTGGAGTCGTGCAGGGTCACATGACAAGTTACCGGCAGAGTCCAGCCTTCAAGAACCAGATTTTCTGCAGATAAAGAGGGGCCTCAGTTCCTCATTTCTCAACCCCCTTCCCCACGCTCCCCCTCCTTGATCAGAATCATTACTAATAGTGAACTGGGCCGTATTCCGGAGAAGGAAGTGACATTTATCATTACTTGAGGAGCCACGGGAAACTCTAAAAAAGGAAGGAAAACCCCCTCCCAAACTTGAGTCTCTCTGAAAGAGGAAGGATTTTTTTTTTTTCATGGTAAGAAATGGGGATGCACGCAATGACCACAGGGAGCCTCCCCCTTGGTCCCGGCTCAAATCTCTGATTTGTGGTCCCGGCTGGGAGAGCGTTTCGGGAGGCTTACAGCGTCGAGGGCTTCCATTACTTAGTAAGGAAGGTGTCCCGCAGCAGTAGTTGGCGAGCAAGCTTCTTCAGCCACACTCAAGATGGCAGCTGCCGGACCACGCCCCAAATGGCGGAACCACGAGTCGTGTTTGGAGAGACGCTTTTCCCAAAATGGAGAGAGAGGGGAGAGAAAACGTCCATCACATCTTAGCCCCGCCCCCCCGGCTGCTAGGGCCAATTAGCGGCCCGCAGGGCGGGGGCCAGACTAGGAGAGGAGGCTGCTGTTGCCCCAGCAACAAGCAGGGATCCCGAAGGCGGGCACAGCCTCGGAGGTATCGGCGCCTCAGGTCCCTCGCTTCCAGGAAGATCCTGGGAGAAGCGCGAGCCAAGCCTAGGAAGTCGGCGTCCGCTGAGAGAGCGAAAGGTCAGGCCCATGAACTGCAATCCCTGCTACCTCTTCCCCCCACCTAACCGTTAGGTGCTTTGAGGTAGGAATAACGCATGCGCGGGCTTAGAGGCGGGGCTAAGGCAGCCCTGCACTTAAGACGCATGCGCTTCTTGGTAGTCGGTGGTCGGACGCGAAGAGGCGGAGCTTTATGCGTGTGGGCGTGGCCACAGGCCCTTGGGGCGGGGTTTTCCGCCGCGCTGAGTAAAAGCAAGAAGTTGTTTTAGAGGCGGGTAGTTAGGCGCCAACTCCCAGACTTCAGCCCACCGCCCTCACTTTTCCGGGGCTCTCCTGGGGAGGCGGTCAGCATCGTGGTTAAGACTGCAACCTCAGTAGTTTGACGAAACTAGCTGGGAATGCTAGTTAACTTGGTAGGCCTCAGTTTTCCCATCTGTCAAGTTGGAGATAATAGTACACTGACTTGTGTGATTACATTTTTCCCTCAGGGCCATGGCTGAGGTGCACGTGATCGGGCAGATCATGGGGGCCACCGGTTTCTCAGAAAGTAGCCTCTTCTGCAAGTGGGGCGTCCACACAGGTATTCCTGGGCCTGGTTCACTTCCCCACCCATACCCCCAGCCCAGAATTTCTACCCTCCTTCCTTCACCCCCCTGGCCTAATCCCTGACCCTCATCTTCCATTGGCTCCCGGGACTCCTAGCCATGACCATACTCTGACAATGTGAAACGCACATTGTTCTTCCCATCCCATCTCTCTGGGGGCTCCGGCTCCCCATCTCTGGACACACGGCCCCCAACGATGTGGGGATAGACACCTCCCCCCCCCCCACACACACACTCCCAATCCTCAAAACACTAGCCAGCCTAACCCCACTGGACTTAGGTGTGCCCTGGGTCCCTCCCTCATCTTCATTCTTTGCTTTATTGAGTTCTGACTGTAAAATGGGTTTCCATCCCAGATTTACAGAGGAGAGGCCACCCTCCTGTATTCATAATTCTCTGTGAGAATAGGGACCCCTTCCGATCAGTCATCCATGTTCATGCACACAAGCCCAGGAGAGACTGCGGGGCCCCCAGTTTTCATGCCTCCCCATCAGAGGCAGCATAGCATCCAGTGGAACGGGTAGGGCCCTAGGCCGCCAGATCTGGGCTCAAACACTAACTCCCTCCCCTAGTGATTGGTGCCCTTTGGACTTGACCTCTGTTTCCATGTCTAAAAATGAAGCCAACAGCAGCCAAGCAGCAGTAGAGTGTTGAGGTTAAGAGCAGACTGCCTGAGTTTGAAGCTGCATATTAGCTATGTGGCCTTGGGCACTCGTCTTTGCCTTGATTTGCCTGTCTGTACAATGGGAATAATAACAGCGCTCATTTCATGGGCTTGTCTCGAGGGCCAAATGAATAGCAACAGCACTGAGGAGAGGGCCTGGCCCAGTAAGTGTTTGCCTGGCTTGTGGAACAACTGGATGGGGTTCTGTTGGGAAAGCCTTGGGGGTGCTGCCCCACGTAGAGTAAACACTCACAAAATGGCTCTTGCCATTGTCATCTCTGGAGGTCCTGGGTCCTTTGCGATTTCACCGGTAGGTAGGATGGTGGCTGAGATTCCCGGGGAAAGGGGAGGGGGTCCTGTAGCTGAGCAGATAAGAGGCAGGCTCTGGAGTCAGACTTAGTTTCTTCCTCATCTGTAAAGTGGGAATATTTATCTTTCAGAGGGATGTTGGGAAATCTTGTATGTGAAGAGCCTGACTCGAGGCCTGGTACTTTCCTCACCTGGCCCAGAAGGGAGCGATAGCCGACATGATTTTTATTATTTCAGGGGGCCCTTGGTGGGGGGGACAGTTAATCCAGCAGAGAACTCAGGGGCAGCCAGATCAAGGGCTTAGGCCCTGCAGTCAGAGAAAGCACAGTTTGAGTCCAACATCACCGTGGGACAGTGGTCAGCCATGTTCTTGCTGTGCCCAGCATGGACAACCGTGCTTGGCACACAGCAGGTGTGAAGTAAGTGTTCATGGAATAAATGGCCAAGTAACTTTCCTTCTCAGAGTGTTTCTTTTTTTTTTAAACTTTTTTTTTTTTTAAGATTTTATTTATTTATTTGACAGAGAGAGCACAAGCAGGGGGAGTGGCAGGCAGAGGCAGAGGGAGAAGCAGGCTCCCCGCAGAGCAGGGGGAGCCTGATGTGGGACTCGATCCCAGGACCCTGGGATCATGACCTGAGCTGAAGGCAGTCGCTTAACCAACTGAGCCACCCAGGCACCCTCAGAGTGTTTCTTTACCTGTAAAATGGGGATTATATTAGCATCCACCTCCTAGGAGCACTTATTTGTCCAACAAACATTTATTGAGCACCTTCTGTGTAAGAAGATCAGAGTTTTGAGGTCCTGGGGACCCAGCAGTGTGCAAGAGGGGTGCTCTCCTGGGGCTCCCAAGTAGAGGAGACAGAAATTTTAAAAAGCAGATAAGAAAATGAGCTCAGGGAAAAAATGAGAGGAGATGACGTGCCAGGGACTAGCATTCGGATAGGAGGGTGAGGGAGCACCCTTCTGTGAGAGGTGGCACACTTGAACTGATCCCTGAAGGATGAGAAAAAAACAGGCACGGGCACATCCAGGAGCAGAACCTTCTGGGCAGAGGCCAAAGCCAGTGCAAAGGCCCTGAGGAGGGGAACAGAAATCGGGCCAGCGAGGCTAGAGGGTGGTGAGGGATGGGGAGAATGGTGGGAGGTGAGTTCAGGACAGGCGCACAGGTCAGGCCATGCAGGGCCTTGTGGGCTCCCGAGGGGAGACTAAAGTGGGGGTGGGGGGGATTAAAAATCCCAGAGGGCAGATTAAATGAATTCATGGATAAAGCGCTTAGCACAGCGTCTGACTTTCTTTCGCTATTATTATCAGCCCCGGGAGGATTGCTATTACTACGCACCTTTCACCATGTGCCGGAGCTCTTGAAGGACACCCTCGGCCCCATCTTAGTCCTTGGACGAGGCCTCTAACGTGGGCTGAGAAGAGTAATAAAATGCTATCCAGCGCTTACTCAGTACTCACTGTGCCCCAGACGCTGTCCTAAGGGCTTTCTGTGTATTGGCTCATTTAATCTTTTCACAAAACCATGAGGGATGCATCCTTATGCACCCATTTTACAGAAGGGGAGACCAAGGCAGAGACCAGTAACTCGCCTGAGGTTGCACAGGCAGGGTGAAGTAGTACCAGGATTTGAACCGAGACATTTGGCTCTTGAGTCCACACTTTGGTGTTGTTGTTGTTGTTTAAAGATTTTATTTATTTGACAGAGAGAGACACAGCGAGAGAGGGAGCACAAGCAGGAGGAGTGGGAGAGGGAGAAGCAGGCTTCCCGCCGAGCAGGGAGCCCGATGCGGGGCTCGATCCCAGGACCCTGGGATCATGACCTGAGCTGAAGGCAGACGCCTAACGACTGAGCCACCCAGGCGCCCCTTGAGTCCACACTTTATAACCCCTGACCCCCCTGCCAGGGAGAGACAGGGTCCTCCAACCCCACTGTCCTCCCCTTCCTGATGTCTGCTTCCCGTCCCTCCCTGCAGGGGCAGCATGGAAGCTCCTGTCGGGCGTGCGGGAGGGCCAAACACAGGTGGACACCCCCCAAGTAGGGGACATGGCCTACTGGTCCCACCCCATCGACCTGCACTTCGCCACCAAAGGCCTCCAAGGTAGGTTCCCTGCATGAGCCCCGGGCCAGGCTGAGGGGAGGGGGGCTAGCAGCACTTGGAACACCAAGTCCCACCCGTGTTCCCTGGGCCCTTTGGGTCCCTTTCCTGGCCAGACCTGGCCCCGGAGAGGCTGAGCTGGCATCTCTGCTGGCTGGCTCTGGAGTGTGTAGGATGAGGCCAGAGGCCAGGGCTGCAGGGGGCGAGGGGAAGGTGGGGACCAGGGAGAGAAGGGAGGTGTAAAATGGGGATTATATTAGCAAAGAGACAAACAGGAGTCTTCCATCAGGAGGAAGCTGGGACTGGGTTATGAGGGAGAGAGGCAGGCTGGTTGCCCTTCTGTTCTGCAGGCTCGGCTCAGCTGCTCACAGGGGAAACGAGTATGCGGGGGAGGAAGGGTATCAGAAAACCTTTTCTCGTGGAAAATTTAAATCACTGGAGAGGAGTGGATTCTAGGAAATAGCCTAGGTAAACATGCCATGTATTTCAACAATACAAATAATATTTACTGAGTGTCTGCCCTGTGCCCCGCCTGTGTTGGGTGATGCCCTGGAAATGTTGGTGATTGAGACAGCAACCCCCCCCCCAGCCCTGTCCTCACGGGGTTCACCATCCCCTTGGGAGAGACAGAGCTGTCCCCAGACAGGGCAGCTCAAAGTGGGCTTGCGGGGGGATCCTAAAGGGTAGGGGAGCCCAGAGGAGATGTCTGACTGCCAGGGAGTTCAGGGAGAGCTTCCTGGAGGAGGGGATATTTGAGCTTTGCCATGAAGGGCTAGTAGGAACTGATAAGCCCGAGGGACGGAAGCGGGTTCTAGGCAGAGAGCTGTGTGTGAAAGGCCCAAAAGGGAAAGTGAGCCAGGGGCATTTGGAGGATTGAGGGTGAATAAGAGGAGGGCCAGGGGTGAGGTGGCAGGGGACAGGGGACGGGCCATGGAGCTGAGGCCATCTCCTGAAGGCACTGGGGAGTCACAACATGTGACTCACAAGTCAGATATCAATTTTAAAAGATCCTTCTGGCGGCTGTCCTTCAGCTCTGCAGACCCCACATCCTCCAGTGTGGGCCCCAACCTTGCCTCCTCTTTCCTCACCCCCCATTCTGCCCATCAGGAAATCCCTTTGGCTCTACCTTTCAAATGTATCCTAAATCCCCCCACTTCTCTCCCCGGGCACCCTGGTCTGCCCACCCTCACCTCTCACTTGGACAATTACAGCAACCTCATCCCTGTGCTCCCACCCTGCCCCCAGAGTCGGTCCCTCTGTGAACACCCAGGTTGGGTCACATTCCTTCCCCATGCAGAACCCTCCACGGTCCGCATCTTACTCAGGGTAAAAGCCAAAGCCTCATCGTGGATCGTGGAATCTGGCCTGTCCCCTCCTCTCCCTCCCCGTCTCTCAGTCTGCTCCAGCCACACCGGCCCCACCCCGCAGCTCCCACCTCAGGGCCTTTGCACTGGCTGCTCCCTCTCCTGGGTGTTCTTCCCTAGATGTCCGTCTACATGGCCCGCACCCTTCCCTCCTTTAAGCATTCGCCCACATGTCACCTTCTCAGTGAAGCTTCCCTTGCTCACCCACTTTCTAAAACTGCATCCCCACCCCCACCATACCCAGCTTTATTTTTCTCCAGAGCGGTGATCACCATCTGACATACCCTGTAATTTGCTTATTTACTACATTCGTTGTCTAGGATGTCAGGAATTTTTGTCTGCTCCGTTCACCACTGTGTCCTCAGCTTCTAGAATAGGGCCTAGCACAGAGGGGCACAGAAAGGAGGGTGAAATGGGGCCAGATCTCCAAGGGCTTTGCCTACCGGGTTGAGGAGCTGAACCATGTTCTAAGGAGCGTGAGAAACCTAAGGAAGCGGGAGAAAGATGCTTCCAGCTGCCAGGTGGACAGTGCATTGGCGGGGCAAGAAGGAAGGCCCTGGGCCCAGGGCGCACAGAGTGGGCCACTGTGAGGGAAGAAGGGAGGTGTCCGGGACTAGGCCCAAAGCCTTCACCTCGGGACTGCGCTGCCCTGATCTGGGGACCCAGAAGAAGAGGCCGTAGAAAGGGATGTCAGCTGAGGCCAGGTCCAGAGGGCCTGGAATGTCGAGGTTGGACTTCTCCTGAGGGCACTGGGGAGCCCTGGAAGGGTTTTCAGCAGGGGAGGACCACAGATTCAGAAAGCTCCCTTGTGAATGGGCGGCCAGAGAGAAGGCCGGGGCGGGGGCAGACACCCCAGCGGGGACCTGTGGAGATCGAGGAGGTGGGGATCCGGGACAGGGAGACCGAGCTACTCCACCTCTCCGAAATTTCCTTCCTCCTTCCCTCCCCATCCTGCAGGCTGGCCCCGGCTCCACCTCCAGGTGTGGTCCCAGGACGGCTTCGGCCGCTGTCAGCTTGCGGGCTACGGCTTTTGCCACGTGCCCAGCAGTCCCGGCAGCCACCAGCTGCACTGTCCCACATGGCGGCCCCTGGGCCCCTGGCGCGAGCAGCTGGCCCGGGCCTTCGTGGGTGGCGGCCCCCAGCTGCTGCACGGGGACGCCGTGTACAGCGGAGCGGACCGCTACCGCCTGCGCACGGTGGCCGGCGGCCTCGTGCACCTGGAGCTGGGGCTACTGCTGCGCCACTTTGACCGCTACGGCGTCCAGTGCTGACCGTGCCCCCGAGGGCAGGCCCCTGTCCCCAGCCCTGCGCGCCTGTCCAGGGCCCGCATGGCCCAGGGCTCCGAAGCGGGGGCTCGGGACGCTGTCGGGTCTGACCCCAGCCAGCGACCACCGTGGCTTCTGTCCCGGCGAGCACCTCCAGCCCAGTGGCTGCCCCCACAGGTCCAGTTGGCCCATCTGTAAAACGGGGGCAGGAAGCGTGTGGGGCGGCAGGGTGCTGGGGGAGAAGAGGCTGCTGGGCCCACGGAAGTGCTCAATAAAGGAGAGCAGTTCTTACAGGTGTGGGTGCCTTCCTGACTTCCTTCTTCGGTCAGATGTCTTGTGCCCTATCCTCCCGCTGACACCCTCCTTCAGGCCCCCCCTTTCTGACACTCCTACTTCCCCCATCCTCTGCCTCAGCCTCTGCCCCCCTCCCCACTCTGGGTGCCCCTCTCAGGACCCCACCCGTTGGGGCTTCTCCCTTCTCTGTGCCCCTCTCCCCACTGGGACCCCCGTCTTCTGGCTGACCCTCTTCCCCAGCCTCCCACTCTCTGCCCGCTGGGGTCCCCGTTCTCTGATTCCCCCCCCACCCCCGGACCCGGTGTCCCCAACCTCTGAGTGAGCCCTCCCCGCCAGGTCTTCATTCCCTCCGTGACCCGGCGCAGCCCTCTGAGCCACACGCAACCCGCCTGCCCGCTGTGGTCGCGCTCGGCCGCCAGGAGGCAGCACCCCGTTCGCGGGGCGGAGCCGGGGTGCCCTCCCCCTCCCCCAGGGGCTTAAGGGACCCCCCTCGGAGCCCGCCCACGCGAGATGAGGACGGTGGCCCGGCCCCCCCGCATGTCCTCCCCCTGGGGGCCGCCCCCGCCCCGCGCGCTTCCTGGGTGGGGCCGGGGCGGATTCAAAACCCCCCGCCGCCCCAGCCGGTCCCCGCCGCCGCCGCCGCCGCCGCCGCCGCCGCCGCCGCCCTTCGCGCCCCGGGGCCGTCCCACCCCCTCCTCCCGCCGCGGATCCGCCAGACAGCGAGGCCCCCGGCCGGGGGCAGGGGGGACGCCCCCTCCGGGGCACCCCCCGGCTCGGAGCCGCCCGCGGGCCGGCCTCGGCCGGGAGCGGAGGAAGGAGCCGCCGAGGAGCAGCCCGAGGCCCCAGAGTCGGAGACGAGCCGCCGCCGCCCCCGCCGCCGCCGCCGCCGCCGCCACTGCGGGGAGGAGGGGGAGGAGGAGCGGGAGGAGGGACGAGCTGGTTGGGAGAAGAGGAAAAAAAGTTTTGAGACTTTTCCGCTGCCGCTGGGAGCCGGAGGCGCGGGGACCGATTGGCGCGGCGCTGCCCCGCCAGGAGGCAGGACTCGGGGACCCCAGACCGCCTCCACCACCGCCTCGGCCGCTCGCTCCCTCCCTGCCCCCTCCACGGCGTCCCCCCCAGGCGCCCCCATTCCGGACCAGCCCTCAGGAGCCGCCAACCCGGACTCCCGCGAAGACCTGACCCCAGACCTCGGGCGCACCCCCCTGCACGCCGCTCCCCCCACCCGCAGCCTCTCTCCCGAGCCCCCGCGCATCCAAGGACCCTTCTCCTCCGGGATCCGGGAGACGGGATCACTCTCAGACCTGCCTCAACTCCCCTACTCAAGACCACCCACCTCTGGTACCAGATCTCGCCCATCTCGGTTTTTTTCCTTGGGATACCGAGAAACCACCCATCAGAGCCTCCCGTCCACCTCCGCTCCCTTCTCCCCGAGGGCATCAGCTCCCCCACCCCCACCCCGACCCTCCTACCTTTCTTCGGGAGACCCCCAGCCCCTGTCGGGGCGGGGCCTCCCTTTTCCCACCCCAGCCCGGCTCGCGCTCTCGGCAGTGCCGGGGGCGCCGCCTCCCCCATGCCGCCCTCCGGGCTGCGGCTGCTGCCGCTGCTGCTGCCGCTGCTGTGGCTACTAGTGCTGACGCCTGGCCGGCCGGCCGCCGGACTGTCCACCTGCAAGACCATCGACATGGAACTGGTGAAGCGGAAGCGCATCGAGGCCATCCGCGGCCAGATCCTGTCCAAGCTGCGGCTCGCCAGCCCCCCGAGCCAGGGGGAGGTGCCGCCCGGCCCGCTGCCCGAGGCTGTGCTGGCCCTTTACAACAGCACCCGCGACCGGGTGGCGGGGGAGAGCGCCGAGCCGGAGCCCGAGCCTGAGGCGGACTACTACGCCAAGGAGGTCACCCGCGTGCTAATGGTGGAAAACAGCAACAGTGAGCTCCGAGGGGCCGGGGACCCTGGAGGGGAGCCCCCAGGGGGCGCCGGAGTGCAGGGGTCACGGGGAGGAAATTACTGGCAGAGGAAACTGGCTAGAGGAAGAGGACCCCCGGGGTTGCCGGGAACGCGGGAGGGGGGTCTCAAAGTGGATAGGACTGAGCTCCCTACCCCCCCCCCCGCCCCACCACCAGGCATCTGGCCCTTGAAGACGAGGAGCTAGTGAGCGAGGTGGACCGCTTCTAGAAGAGGGCCATGGGAACATGCGGGATCGTGGGGGCAGTTCCCTAGAGGGAGAGAAGCGATTGGGGGGTGGAGGGGTAGAAAGACTTCCCTCTCCACCCGACACTAGAGTTTGGGGAGTCGTGGGGTGAGGGCTGCAGAGAGAGAGCCCGCTTTGGGAGAAGCGAAGACCCCAGCATTTGAGAAAGGAGAGGCAGTGGGGAAAGCTGACCCAGAGCTCAGGGCTCACGAGGCGAGAAAATTCAAGAAGGACAGGAAAACTAGGTGCCGGGAAAGTGGAGAGTGGACCCGCTTGCAGCGTGCGCGAAGAACACGCGGGACTGGGGGAAGGCCCACAGAGAGGCGGCGAGGGGGCTGATACATGCGGGGGAAAAGGGGACCCGAGGTCGTGGGTTGGGGGGAGGTCGGAGAGCAGCGGAGACCCCAGGGGGGCGCCGGGGATGCGCGCGAGGTGCCCCGAGTATTTGGCATAGGGACGTGAGAGGAGCAAGCCCAGCGGGGGAAGCGAGCCCCCAAGACACCTAGAATACTGGGTGGTGGGAAGGGGTTTAGAGAGAGGGGAGACAAGCATGAGAAAGGGGGGAACCGTACGAACAGTGCCCTGCTGGGAGCCGCGAGCCCCCCACGCCGCGGGAGGGGAGCAAGTGGGCTGAGTGAGGAGTCGAGCCTTAGGGGGAGAGGTGGATGGGTGCGACTCTGCAAGATCGGAGTGAGAAAACTGACTGGGTCGGGGTGAGGGAGCCCCACGTGGGTGCCACGCGCGGAGGGAGGAGCCTGCCCTCCCGGAAGGGGGGGGAGGAGGACCCTGCAGAGCTGAAGGGGGAGAGTCTGGACCCCAGAGTCCCAGTTCCTCTCGGGGAGGCTGGGGAAACCCCAGCGTCCGGCCGCCTCGCCCTCCCTTCCCTTTCCTTCCCGTGCCCGGGGGGCGGGGATCGCGCGCGGAGCCTGGGGCGAGACCGGGCAGGTCGGGTCCCCGCCCTCGCGGCGGCGGCGGCGCCTCCAGTCCTCTTCACCCCAGCTCGGGGCGGGGCTGCCGCTGGGCCCGCCCCCCCGGCGCCCACGCGGGGACCCAGGTGTCCCTTGGGGCCGGGAGGTTTGGGGGCGGCCCCCCCGCTTGCCCTCTCTGCCTTGGGTGATGCACCTGTGGGTCCCCGGGCCCTGCGTGCGCCTAGTTTGCAGCTCCAGCCGCATGACGCCCCTCCCCACCCATCTCTCGGCCTCACCTTTTCTGTGGCCACTTCACCTTCGTTGTAGAGATTTCTTTAACACTGACACCTTCCATCCTCGTCTCCCCTCCCAGTCTGCCTCCCTCTCGCCCCCCAAACCCTATGTCTCTCTTCCTGTGTGTGTCTGCCCCATCTCTGCCTTGCGTCTCTCCCGCATCCCCATGCGTGGGGCTCCCCGTTCCTGTCTGTCTCCTCCCTCTTTCTCGCCTCCTCGCCGTGCTCCTCGTGTCTCCCTGTCTCTGCGGTTTCTCCATCTCTCCTTCTGACCGGTCCTGCCCTTCCTTTCTCCTTCCTCCCTATCTGCCCCCCCTACCCCCCTCAACGCCCCTGCGCCACCCTTCCTTTGGGGTTTGCTGAGTAACCCCTGGGTCAAGATAGGACTTCTTTGTGGGGAACCAGGCTGGTCTCGCTGGAGTAGGGAGGAGTAGGGGCAGGGGCCATGCAAGGAGCTTCCTCTGCCCTTTCTCATCAGATCCTGTCCCCACCATTTCTGCACCCCCACTGCAGAGGCCTAAAGCATGTGCCCCAGTCAGTCTAGAAGGTCATTGGCCTGTCCGCTCATCCCAAACTTTTCCTAGACTAGAAAGCACTCTTCCTAACTTCCGCCCTCCCCCGCCCAAAGCCATTCCTCCCTAGAATGAACTTTGCCTTGTCTAACCAGCTGAGGGAGGGAAGAGAAGAGAGGAAGCAATTAATAATCATAACAAGGTCACAGTAGCAGGGGAGCAGCTTAGCCTAGGGGCTGAGAGCACAGTCTTTGGGAGCAGACTGCCCGGGTTTGAATCCCAGCTCTGTAGCTCCCTACGTCCGTCACCATGGGGCAAATGACCTGTTTCCCCAGCTCTAAAATGGGTATAATAATCGTCTTTTCCTCATGCGGTGGTTGGTTGTGAGGTTTAAATGTCTTAACCCTTGTGAAGTGTTGTGAACAGTACCTGCAAATAGTGAGCGCTCTTTAACACACACACACACACACACACACACACACACACACACACACCCCAAGGAGCGCACCCCGCATGTGCAGGCTCTCCTACACGCTTTACCTGCGACATCTCTCTCGTGTCACACAATAACCCCGCGGTCGGTCCTCGCTTTGCAGATGAGGATCTGGCTCGGAGAGTGGAATTCACTTGCCCAAAGTTACGCAGCGCTTCAGTGAGGAGAGCCTGGTTGGGAGTTAGGGAGCTCGATGTGGTTGCCGATTCCCAAACAGCAGCTGGAAAGTGAGGCTCTGGGAAGGAATGCGACTTGCCCAAAGTCACAGAGCTGGAAGGCAGCAGAGGCCAGGGCTGGTCCAAATGCCCTTGAGCCCATTTCGCACCTGAGACTCCAAGTGCTGGGGGGCGGGGGCCTGAGCAAGCACAGCAGCCCCCTACAGCCATGTCCTGAGTGGACACTTTACCGACGGTGGGGGACAGGGGTGGTTCAGACCCCTTTTACAGAGGGAGGAGACGAACCCAGAGAGGGCAAGCCACTCGCCCAAGGTCCCACAGCTAAAAAGTGTCAGAGTTGGGTTCCCACCCAGCGTTGTCAGCCCGGGAACCTACGCTCTTAGACTTGGGGTGTGCCAGCCGGCTCCCCGCCAAACCCCTGACAACCCT